CCCGGGGGTCTGCGGAAAGGCTCCCGCGGACCCGTCGCGCCCCCTCCCACCCTAGCATGGGATGGGCGAGCCCTGTGAGCGCGGTGCCTGCTCGCCGGCCGCCGGCATGAAGGAGGGAGCGGACTGGGAGTCCTGGGACGTGCCGCTGGGTTTCCTGGAGGGCGCCCAGATGGACAACAGGAGCAACATGTCCTTGCTGCAGCTCTTTAAGACCATCAACCTGGAGCGAGCCGACGGGATGCAGGGGGACAGCTCCAACGTGGTGCGGATTGTCATCTCGCTGGTGTACTCCGTGGTGTGCGCCCTGGGGCTGGTGGGCAACCTGCTGGTGCTCTACCTGATGAAAAGCAAACAAGGCTGGAGAAAGTCCTCCATCAACCTCTTTGTGACCAGCCTGGCAGTGACTGACTTCCAGTTTGTGCTGACCTTGCCATTCTGGGCGGTGGAGAATGCGCTGGACTTCAACTGGCTCTTCGGCAAGGCAATGTGTAAGATTGTTTCATATGTGACAGCCATGAATATGTATGCCAGTGTCTTCTTTCTCACCGCCATGAGTATGGCTCCCATAGCCTCAGCCTTGAAGAATCAGCGACGAGGTGACCCCCTGGGTGGCTGCTGCTCTGCCAAGTGGCTTTGTGCGCTCATCTGGCTGTTAGCTATCCTGGTTTCCCTGCCCCATGCCATTTTTTCCACCACTGCCACCGTCTTTGATGATGTGCTCTGCCTCGTGAAGTTCCCTGAGAGCCGAGGCAGCAATGCCCAGTTCTGGCTGGGTCTGTACCACATCCAGAAGGTGCTGCTGGGTTTCGTGGTGCCACTGGCCATCATCAGCCTCTGCTACTTGCTCCTAGTGCGCTTTATCAGTGACAAGCACGTCGGCAGCACCTGCAGCGGCCCCAGCACCAAGCGCCGCTCCAAAGTGACTAAGTCGGTGTCCATCGTGGTACTGTCTTTCTTCTTGTGCTGGCTGCCTAACCAAGCGCTCACGACCTGGGGCATCCTCATCAAACTCAACGTGGTGCACTTCAGTACTGAGTACTTCCTCTCCCAAGTGTACCTCTTCCCCATCAGCGTGTGCCTGGCACACTCCAACAGCTGCCTCAATCCCATCCTCTACTGCCTCATGCGCAGGGAGTTCCGCAAGGCACTGAAGAGCCTCCTCTGGAGGATCACCTCACCTTCCCTCACCACCATGCGCCCTTTCACCGACACCACCAAGCCCGAGCAGGAGGAGCAGGCCCTGCACGCCTTGGTGCCTGTCCACCCTGTCAACGCTTCTTCCCCTGCTGCAACCGTCCAGCCGGAGGTGGCCTACTACCCCCCCGGGGTGGTGATGTACAGCAGCCGCTGTGACCTGCTGCCCGCTAGCTCCACGGAGCAGCGCTGCTGAGATGAGCAGGGGGCTCTGGGTGGTGGGACTGGGGGAATCTGTGCAAGATGTGGCCCTGAGATATGGAATGCCTGGTAGGGACAAGGGGAGGAGGGTTGGGTAAAGGAGGGCTTCTGTGTGAGAGATGCTCTTTTGGGGTTGTGTCTGCTCTTGGAAGCTTGTTGGTGGAAATCATTGTCTTGAAAATGTCCCCCAGATTGGAGAACAGAATTAGGAGGAGGCGGTGGTGCACTGGGGATTGAAGTGTCTCTAGGAGATGCTTTTTAGTGCTTGTACTCGTTGTAGGGAACAGGAACTGGGTGGGGCTGTGTCCCCCCAACCTGGAGGTACAAACAGCAAGGGGCCAGCAGCCTTCCTGCCCCTGTGTGTCTTTGTGGCAGGGGGAGGGAGCTGGGCTGCTTTCTCACTGCTGCGTGGCATGGCAAATGATGCCAGCCTGGCTGCAGTCACTGCTCCCCGGGCTCCATTGAGGGCACAGGGATCAGGCAGCCTACATCTTGTTTCACACCTGCCCTGATGGGAACAGCCAGCACAAGTGGGTAGAAGGCTACTGCTTGTTCAGGCTTGGCCCCTTTCCCCTCTCTTAGAGACCTAGGAAAAAGAGGGGACAAGGAGCACTGTGTTCCCTTCCAAATCTGTGCAGGATCTGCTTTTCCAACTCCTGCCATCCCCTCTGCTGCTGCCAGGATATAGAGTGACCCCGACAGCCAAGGAGAAACCCAAGGACAGGACTTGAAGCTTCATGGGGAGATAGTACTTTGTCAGGGTTTGGAGGGGAGGGTGTGAGCCCCCTGACATCATGTTCCCCAGCCTCTCTCCAGGCTGCTGGGGGGGAACCCACAGCCCCAAACTGTGTGCAGCAAGGCGGATGTCTCTCCCAGGGCGCTGAGGCTGCAGGCTTTGTTCTTGTTGTGCTTCAGACTGTTTGTGTTTCACTCCAGGAAATCAGCACAACTGTAAATAAAAAAAAACAGGGGAAAAAGAAATAAATTGTAGCCACTTCATCAAAATGCGTGCTCTGGGATACTTCTGAGTTCAGCTAAAACCAAGCACAAAGTTTTTTGTTCTGGTAAAGTGTTTGTTGAGGGTCTGCACTGATACTTGCCAGTGTTTCAGTTAACTGCAGTTCAATTCCTCCGGTGCGAACAACCCTAGAGCCTGCAGTTCGGTGCTCTTGCACCCTGGAGAAGGGCAGGGACAATGTCTGTCCCAGCCTGTATTCCAGAGAAACATCTGGGAAATAATTTAATGAACTTCTAAAAGCATGAAAAGAGTGTAATTTTAAGCTGTGAAACTTTTTATGGCAATGATACATATTTACTTTTTTAATATTTTTTTTTAAATTTTGAGGGGAAAATAAAATAGGTCAAAATATTTCTTTTAAAAGATGTAAAAATGCAACAGTTCTGTTTTTTTTTATCAAAATACAAGTTTCGTTAATCCTCAGTACTGCATATAGGACAAAGATATAAATACAACATACAAACCCCCTCTCTATTTCCAGCCCTTTCTCCTGCAGCCTAACTCTAACATCTGCCTGACTGCTAAAAAAGCATTTCTGCAGAGGGTTGTTTGTCACCTCTAAGTACTGATGTGGAGCAAACTTGCTATTTCTATCTAGAGAAAATGATAGTGCCGTTAGTGGCAATTATGCTTTGCAGACTCAGTTAGGTTTGCTGTACATGTCGGTAACTCCTGTTATGAAATTTGAGTTTGGTCTGGAAGCAGCTGGTTCTGCTACTTGCAAGGAGAAGCTGCTCTATTTTTTCAAGGCAGACAAGACTTCTACTACAGCTTTTGACACTTGCTAACTGGGAAGGTACAGGTGCCTGGAGAACAGCAGAAGTGAGCTGGCAGCTGATGGACATATTTCTACAGATGCAAAGACTCTGAAGCAATCAGATATATCCACAGAAGAACTTGAGCATCTAAGTACTGTACAACTGTCCCTCTAAGCTCCTAAATCCTGACTTGGCTGCCAGTTGAAGTCTGTAGGTGCTTGAAGCTTTTTCTAGTAAATTTTTTTTGTGCCTAGACGTCCTGAGCATGTCTAAATCTGCTTAACTCTGTAGCATTTACCTCTCTGCTTCATGGGGATCTCTGTCGGGACTGGCCACAGTGTGTATCCTAAGCGAGGGAGGCAGCTCTGCATCCCAACACACACTACGCCAGACCACACACACTAAGCTAGGAGGGGCTGTAAATTTAACTCATTCCCCCCATCCCTTTGCATCTATGTCTAGATACCCTTCTCCCGTCCCAGCTTCAATGTATGTGCAGGTTATGCTCCTTCCTCTTCCCTTTTGAAATGCTAAATAAGTGGGCAGAGTTTTTGCCCACAGCCTAGGAGACTCAGCTTCCCCCCTTCCATGTCCCTGGGGAATGACTGAATCTCTGGGCTGCTCCGTGAATATGCTCAAATCCTCTGGTTGAAACAGTTCCCTGTTGCGTGAGTTGCTTATCATTGCTGGATCATAAAGGGAAAGCAAGCCCTTGAATGCTACTTTGCAGCATAGTTGTTAGGGTGTGAGTCCAAAAGAGGAAGTGCCAAGATTTTTTTCCTTGTAAATACGGAAGAGAAACTGGATCCAGGTCTCTCCTTTCCAAGAACAATGATTAACTTGCTCCCAGGTCCTGCTTCAATTAAAGTTTCAGTATGCTTTGCAAGAGCCTGAGAGCTTTCTAGACCTATAAATGCAGCAGCCTGTGTCAAAGGATTTGTAGGAACTGCATTTGAGTTTCATTTTTTCGGAGAAAGCCTAATGCCAGTGCTAGCAGATGAAGAAAGCTACACCATTGTGTGAGAAAAGGTTACCACAAACACTTAACTCCAGAGTTCAGAGAGATCTGTAGGTCAGGTGAGAGAATCTAAATCAAGAACAGGGGATGAATCTCAAAGCCAGACTCTCTTCTTAGTGTTCACTTTTGAAAGCATAGTTTCTTGCTTGGCTTGCTGGAAATTTAATCCATCTCCTGATGCTTAAATGTTCTTGTGCATAACATAGAAAGCTATCCAGCTGTCTAAAGCATAACTGTGAATTTCTGTAGATAGCAAATTGGCTAAAAGACATCCTCTGCAGTGCTCAGCATGAAAAAACCCATGTGCTTTTGTGGATGTCAATGTAGACATAATTTTATACCAGCAAACTGACACAGAAAAATAGATGATGTTCAGAACAACCCATAGTTAGCCCAAAATACTAGCAAGATGCTATGCCCAGAGGAAGCCCCAGGTATCTGATCGCTAAAGACATGAAAACCTTATGTCTGGCAAATCACTCAAATAGGAAAATACTTTGGGTGTGTAGGGACTGGACTCTGGATTTAGGGGCAACTCTCAACCTGCCGATCCACCAGGTGTAGGTCATGAATCTGCTGTTCGATAGAGGTGCAACCCATCCACAATTAAGCAAATGTTGGTTAAGGCCAGACCAGGAATTCAGGCTGTTTGGGTCAATGTGTGTCCAGCATGGTCAAAGAGCGCTGCTCTAGCTGTGCATGAGCGGGAGAAATTTTGCTTCTTGTGTGCTGTGAATCTCAACTACTGGTGCATGAAATCTGGGCTGTGTGTTGCACGGGCAAGGGCACCAGGCTGCACATTGCAAGCAAGGGGCAGTGGCTCTGAGTGTGCACACAGCATTAGGCATGTGGCCAGAGCAGAGGGTCTTTCCAGCGCCCGCTTTGAGACTACATGTTAACAACAACCCCCATTGTCACCCCCATTTACAAAAAAGGGCAGAAGGAGGATCCAGGGAACTACAGGCCTGTCAGTCTGACCTCAGTGATGGGCAAGTCATGGAACAGGTTATCTTGAGTGCTATTAATGAGCACATACAGGTTAACCGGGTGATCAGGCCCAGTCAACATGGGTTTATGAAAGGCAGGTCTTGCCAATCAAACCTGATCACCTTCTATGATGGGGTGGCCCGCCTGGTTGACGAGGGAAGGGCTGTGGATGTAGTTTTCCTTGACCTCAGTAAAGCCTTTGATACAGTTTCTCATAGTGTTCTGGTTGAGAAACTGGTAACTGCTGGCCTGGATAGGCACACCCTCCTTTGGGTTAAAAACTGGCTGGATGGCCGGGCCCAAAGAGTGGTGGTAAATGGGGCTAAATCCGGCTGGAGGCCGGTCACCAGTGGGGTTCCCCAGGGCTCAGTGCTGGGTCCAGTTCTGTTTAACATCTTTATCAATGACCTGGATGAGGGGATCGAGTGTACCCTCAGTAAGTTTGTGGACGACACCAAGCTGGGAGGCTGTGTCGATCTGCTCGAGGGTAGGGAGGCCCTTCAGAGGGATTTGAACAGACTGGATCGTTGGGCTGAGGCCAATGGCATGAGCTTTAATAAGGCCAAGTGCAGAGTCCTTCACTTGGGGTATAAAAACCCCAAGCATCGCTATAGGCTCGGGAAAGAGTGGCTGGAGAGCTGCCTGGCGGAGAAGGACCTGGGGGT